CCATCTGCTAACTGCTCCTCATTAGGGCATTGCACAACCCTAGCCAGCTGCCCGGTAGCAAACGCGACGTCCGGTCGGGTGTTTACCGCCGCATACATGAGGCTGCCCACCAACGAGTGAAATCGGCGCCTCTCCTCTTCTCCAACGCTCTCCTCTTCTGGCCCCTTCACACACTTGAACCCAGTGGGAAAGGGAGTAGCCACATGACCTTCACTCTGGCCGAAGTTGGCAGCCAACGCCTCCAGGTACTTCCGTTGGTGCACTCGCATGCTCCGCTTCTCCACGTCTCGTTCGATGTGGAGCCCAAGGTAGAAGTTCACGTCACCAAGGGACTTGCACTTGAACTTGTCTTGCAGCTTCAGCATCACCTCCTTCACAAGGTCAGGAGAGGGTGAGATGATCAGGATGTCGTCCACGTACACCACCATGAAGCTCCTCTGCTCCCCCTCGCCAAGCATGAACAAAGAGTGATCGGCCGTTGAGGGAGTGAAGCCGATCCCCTCCAACACTTCGCGCAGCTTCATGTACCATTGCCTAGGGGCCTGATTCAGCCCATAGAGGGCCTTCTTCAGCTTCCACACTCTGCCACTACCATCATCAAACCCCTCTGGCTGCGCCATAAAAATCTCCTCCTCAAGGATGCCGTTAAGGAATGCCGTTACGATGTCCATTTGTTTTACTACCCATCCTTTGATGGCGGCTCCCGCGAATAGGGTTCGCAGCGTCGTCGGCTTCACCACAGGGGCAAACAGCTCCTTGAAGTCCACCTTCTCCTTCTGCTGGTACCCCTTGGCTACAAGCCTAGACTTGTAGCGCTCGATCTTGTCGTCGGCATCCGACTTGATTTTGAAGAGCATCACTACTCTCCAAAGCCTCCTTGAGAGTTGCTGGTTCTCCCGGCATCTCCACCGGAGAGAAGAACGCGAAGGCACACTCCTCGTAGTCACTCTCCTCGTCGTCTCCGACCATCATTGCCGCTCCGGCCAGGGCTGTCTTGCCCTGCTTTCCCGGCGCATCATAGGTCAGCCTATTAGGGGGTTGAACTCTCCTCTTCCCCCTTCCTTCCTCCTCAGCTGCAGGGACTTGAAGGCCTTGGCGTTGCTGCGGTAGGGCTCGAATCCATGGAGCACTCGTAGTACGGGAAGGGAGTGACGGTGCACGCTCGCTCACTTGCTGCACCTCCTCCTCTTCTTCCTCTGCATCATTGGCCTCCTCTCCCCCATTCACAAGGGAGGATTGCCTTGTGGTTGTGCTGCCGCTGCTCAGCTCCAAAGGCAGCTCCACATGCTCCAAACCGGAACTCTTCACCTCCCCAAACCGCACGCCTATCTTCGCCTCATTCTCCGCCTTCCAATCCTTGTACATGAAGTTCTCCATGAACTTGCAGTCCCTGCTCACCAAGAACTTCTTGGTGAATGGGTCCCAAAGAAGCCATCCCTTGCTGTTTTGAGCCATGCCCAAGTGCACGGCCCACACCGCCTTGGCACCAAGCTTGTTGTGCCGAAGATGCTTAGGCACGAGCGCCATGCACATGCACCCGAACACCCGAAGCATATCCACCTTCGGCTTCCTTCCTAGCCACTCCACATAGGGCACCCATTTGTCTGCTCCCACATGAGTCAAGGCTCTGTTCTTGGCCACACACACGCTCCGCACCGCATCAGGCCAGAAATAGTCGGGTAGCCCGGCTTCAATGAGCAACTCGCGTGCCGCCTCCGTGATTGTGCGGTTCGCTCGCTCGGCGATGCCGTTCATTGCAGGGGAGTATGGCATGGTGAGGGAGTGTCGAATACCATTCTTCTTCAGCCACAACCCAAACTCCTTGCTCAGGAACTTTCCCCCTCGATCGGTGCGGATTGACTTGACTAGATGGTCTTGTTGCCGCTCCACCATCGGGAACCAATCCGTCTTCAACGTTTCAGCCACGTCGCTCTTCTTGGCCAGCACATACACCCAAGTCATGCGGGTGTAGACGTCGACAATGGTGAGAAAATACTCAGCTCCAGCAGCTCCAAGCTTCAGGGGGCCCACCACATCCATCACCACCTCATCAAGCGGTGCCTTTGCCGTTGCCTCCGAACTAGGGAACGGAAACCGGGTGAACTTGGCTTGAATGCACGTCGGGCAGCCAAGCACCTCATCAGGCTCCCCCTTCACACGTATGCCAGCAACCATCTCATTCTTCACTAGCTGCTGCAAGATGGGCAGGGCCACATGCCCCATGCGCCGATGCAAGGTGAGCCAATCACACTCCCCCGTAGCCGAAGTTGGATTGGAGAATGCCGCGCTCGCAATAGCGCCCCACATACTCTCTCCGTAGTCCTCCTCCGCTGCTGCCTCTGGGTTCTCCTCACCCTTTTGCTGCTCCTTGGTTGCTGCACCACTCTCCTTAGGTTCACTGAACTTGCTGGTCCCTCCAGGTTTGCTCTTCTTGAGCTCATTCTCCTTAGCGCGTCCGTTAGCGCCATCGTCGCTACCGACCGCTCCATCCTTGGTGCTGATGCTTGCTGCCACTTGCTTCTCCTTAGGCATAGGGACCACTGGGATCTGCCACATCTCGTTGTAGACATCCCTGTCCTCATGAAGGTCCCAAAGAATTCGATCGCCAAGCCTTGCGGTGTAGGTCTTGGCTCCCTTCGAGTTCGTGTCCATGCCGGCCTTTGCCAACCGCCGCACGGAAATCAGGTTTGCAGCAAGGCTGGGCACCCAAAGCACGTTCTTGAGGCCCACCATCTTCCCATCAGCACCCTTGAACATGGCCTTCCCCATGCCTTTCACCTCTGCTCGCTGCCCCAAAGCCGATGTGACATGCTTCACCGGTGACGGCTCGAGTTTGGTGAGCAAGTCCGGGCGAGGTGTCATGCTATAGGTAGCGCCACTATCAATCACCCAATAGTCCAGGGGGTGTAGGGTCACCTTCCCCACAGCTGCTGGCTCCTCAACGCCTTCATCCTTCTCTGGACCAGCCGGTACTTGCGTCGACACGAAGTAGAATAGACCCGGGTATCGATCGTCGCTCGGGTCCTTGTCGTTGTCTCCGCTCTTCATGTTTGCAGCTCCGCCACCGCGACCGCCACGGCCTCCACGGCCTCGTCCTCTCCCTCCTCCTGCTCCTCTACCCTCTTGGCCTTGAGCAGGGGTCCAACCATCAGGGAGTTTGTAGCAGTCGCGCCACATGTGTCCGCTCTTGTGGCAATAGTGACACTCGCCGTCGAATCGGCCGCGACCGCGTCCGTAGCTCTTGTCGTCGCTGCCGTAACCGCCACTCCCGCGGCCTCCGCCGAAGTTGCTGCCACCAAACCTTCCTCCCCCTCGTCCTCTGCCTCTTCCTTGACCATATCCACGGCCGATGCTCGCTGCCCCAGCGCCATCCGCACTCGCCAACTCACGGCGGCGGAAATCCTCTTGAAGGATAGCTCGCTTCACGTCTTCAAGCGAGAGGCGGGGCAAGTCGTGATTAAGGTTGATGATGAGCGAGGACCATGACTCAGGGAGTAGGGCCAGCAACTTGGTCTTCTTTTGGAGCTCACTATAGTTCAAATCAGCTCCCTCAAGCCGCGTCAACAAGTCGAAGAATTTATGCACCCCTTCTTCAACCGCTTCATCCTCTTCAATTCGTAGTGTCGCCATTTGCCGTTCCAACACCACAGCTACTGCCGCTGTTGCAGGAGCGTGTACACCCTTGAGAGCAGCCCATGCCTTTGGTCCCTTCTCTGGTTCACGCTGGAAAGACTTGATGTGACGGATCTGGCTGCTCCCCAACGCTTGCCCTAGTAGGAGGTAGCCTTGTGCGCTCTTCCGCACCCACGGGCTCTTCTCCGGGTCGTTCTCGGGGCGCTTCTCCGTTCCTTCCATCACCTCCAGCAGGTCATAGTGATCAAACACGTTCTCCATTCTGAAGGACCACTCAGCAAAGTTGTCACCGTTGAACTTGTCAAGGCCAAACACTCTAGGCTCGTCCCTAGATGGGCCAACACTTGGTTGCACGCGCGCCATGGCTGAGTCACGGGGTTGGCCTTGAGCTTGGGCTTCTCCACTGCCACCAGCACCTCTGCCACCCCTTTCATCAGGTCCAGCAATTGTCGAAACTGCTCCAAGGGGCTCTGATACCACTTGTTATAGTCACAGTAGGCTCCAATGTGCCTAAAACGAAAGATAGAGTGCACATCCGGATTTCTGCACAGCGGCTTCAAACGTTCATAGCGTTCTGGTCACAGCTTCAAATGACTTGATTCAACTTGGATCTGGAGCGTCTTATTGTCGCCTACAATAGGCAATTTAGATCGCACGATTTCACCAAGTATTGACGACACAACTCAGTTTGAACGAACGGCACTATGGCAGCCACTATAGTCTTAGAACACAAGATAGGAAGAGTTAGGAAGAGTTACGAGTTGGGAATGACTCCCAGCTCCTACAAACCCCAAGAGCCGAGGTACAGTGATGTGGAACAGTGCCACACTGTCCCCAACCACGAAGGGTCTCGAAACTACCCTTCACTAGGGCCTACACCAAGTGAAATGTTACACTACACAAAGTAATGTAACTATCTTCAATATCTTGAGGTGTACCCTTTTGGCGAGCTTCGAAATCACTTGAGGCTTGACACCAAGGCTCGGGCTCTTCATCACAAACTCATCCTTGGGTTCTTGATGGGTCTGCTGCACACACCTGCGACACACCGAACGTTCGACACAGGAAAAAATAGAAACCGCGCACGACAAAATAGAAACCGCGCGCGAGACACAAACGACCGCGTAACACGCGTCTAGCGATAACTCGCTATTGACTCGACACACACACTCGACATCATGACTCAACATTCACACACAATTATAAGCATGAAATATATATTATCCCATGCCCTCATACCATTCCATACACACACACATGCACGCACACGGACAACAAGCCGAGTGCAAACCGTAGGGTTGCACCAACACAATGTGCTCCTCGTCAATGGTTGCGGTGCCGTCTTTGTGGAATCGGTCGACACCAAGATGGAGCTCAAGACAGGCAGCTACATCGTTGGCATCTTGCGTCCCATCGTCGAGAAGGTTGGCCCCGAGAACGACCTCATGCTCCAGCTCACCGAGAACGTCCGCGACCACCTTGACGAGCATGCGGAAGAGGTCCTGTCAAGGGGAGAGGTGGGGGAGATTCGGAAGATTGTGCTGGTCCGTTGGGACAATGGGATGGCGTGCAACATGCACTTGGTTGGTCGCATCCTCAACCCGGCCAACCAGGAAGAGGGAATCTTCCGCACTGACCTGGAGTGCACGAAGGTCTTCAAGCAGTACGTGTCCAAGCACTTCGACGACCAAACAGTCACCAGGAAGGACGGGGTCGAGCGCCGCGCCTCCCTCGTCATCCAGGAAGGTTTCACTGCCTTCCTGAACCTCCAGGGCAGTGTCGGCATGCCCAACGCCAATGCTGTCCGTCAGACAGTGAAGGAGGGCAAGATGACCGCGGTGGCCTGGTGGACGTGGCAAGTGACCAATCATCCCGAGCTCACCACGCTTGCATGTCGCGTCCTGACTCAGCCGGTGTCCACATCACCATGTGAGCGGAACTGGGTGAAGTTTGATGCAGTGCATACGGCAAGGAGGAACCGCCTCGGTGCGGAGATGCTTCGGGACCTTGTGTACGTGACGCACAATTGGTAGGTTGTGCATAACTGGCACAAGGTCCCTAAAGGGCAAGGGGTGGTGAAGGGAAACATCGACGACCTCTCTATTCCGGCTGGCTACAACGTCGAGGAGGAGGTAGAGGAACCTGAAGTGGGGGAGGATGATGTGATGGCCGATGAGTACTAGTGGAAGGCTCCATGCATGAGCGGCAGGCGGGGGATTAAGGATGACCTGTAGAGTAGGGGAAGGGGTGGTATCATGAATGGGGTGGAGGAAGATGTAGTGGTAGATAAGTTTTACCGTTTTTTTCTCTTTTTTTCTGTAACTTTCATATTAATAAAAAGGGGATGGGGGCTACATCACCCCCCCATCCCCACCTCTTACCCCAAAAATCTGCCCTGGAAAAAAAAAATCCCTGCCCCGGCAAGCGTATTCTTGTGCGTACCAGACCCCTCAGGGCACGCGTTTAGCATTTATACTCTCGCGCTTATACGAGAGCGTACAAAATGCAAAATACGTTTCTCCCAACTTAGACCATCACCCCCCTCCCTGTCCCCACCTCTCCCAGTACCAGCATACGTGTACAACCATGACAACCCTTACTTACACCCCCTCACCTCCCATCATCCCCACACCTGCACCGGGCACCTCCACCAAGTTAGGCGCCAGCACCACATGCTCGGTCCTCCCGCTGCACACCGCCTGCCCTTTGTTGCCCTCCTCACTGCTGCTTGATTTTCCCATGCATTCGTGCACTATCAACCTACAGCCGCCTCCCTCTCCTCACCTTCTCCAGGCACCTCCTCCACGTTAGGTACTGGCACCACACACTTGGCCCTCCCACTGCGCACCACTTGCCCCACCTCCTCGGAACATACTCGCTGGAATAAGGCTACAGTACGAAGTCAAATATATTACACTAACTCAACGAAATGAACATACCGTAACTGGTTAGAATTGTGAAATAACCCAAACACATATTTCTTCAAATGCTACGAAGTTAGTGGCCAAGTTTGGCCATCGCTGGTAACCGATCATGCGCCTGAAGCGTACAAACCTTGCTAGTGCAGTGCCATTACAAAACTTACACACACACACACACACATATCACAAATAGGCGCACAACCCAAACTGCCACCACCATTGAGCAGTTGGAACTTCTCCTTTGTGGCAGGACTCCGCATTTGACCGCATTACGTCTTGCCTGCAGCCTAGCTGCTTGGAGTGAGACGGTGGTGGTAGTGAGATGGTGGGCGTATGGTGGGGGTGAGATGGTGGTGGGAGTGAGAGGGTGGTGGGAGTGAGATCGTGGTGGGGTGAGATGGTGGGAATGAGATGGTGGTGGGACTGAGATGGTGGTGGGGGTGAGATGGTGGTGGGGGTGAGATGGTGGTGGGAGTGAGATAGTGGCGGGGTGAGATGGTGGTGGGAGTAAGATGGTGGTGGGAGTAAGATGGTGGTGGGAGTCAGAGAGCAGGGGGGGAGTGAGACGCTGCTGGGATTCTGCAGAACCCATAAAATTGGGGGAAAAGTTTTGACGCGCCTCCAGAAATTGCACAGCAGTAACAATTTACGGGACTAATACTTGCATCCCGACACCAGGCGCAGTGCCCTGTGCAACAATGGGTTAAACACCATGACAAGAACATTACAGAAGGCATGGATGATGGTGCAAGGAAAGAGCCAAGGAAATTGAGGAAGGCACGAGGAAACTTCAGAGAAGGGGGATGGAGAGGAGAAATGGATTGGGTGAGGAAAGGAATGGCGTGGGGAATGGGATCAAGAAAGAAACGGACTGATAGAGGGGAACCAGGCCTAGACAACAAGGATGACACACCAACAAAAGAGCAAAAAAGAGATGGGAGACACTGACCCAACAAGCGGACAGCTAGTTGGGGGCGGTTAGGAGGAGACGGCGAGGGCGGTTAGGAGGTGACGGCGAGGGCAACGGATGGCCCAAAGGTGCTTCTTTTTTAAGAGACGGACCTGAAGAAGGGGTGGATTGGTGGAGGCGGCGAGGGAGATGGATGGCCCACTCTCCCTTCCTCCAAAACATTATGCTCCAAAAACTCCTGCTTTGCCGCCAGGAACTCAGTGTTGTGTGCATCGAAAGAGATGGTGGACATGGGTTAAGATGGAGGGAGAGATTTTGAATGGTTAAACAAGAATGGCAAGCATGGGCCACGATGATCTCCACATGTTGCTTGAAAATCTCCTGCTTCACCACCAAGAACTCATCGTCTCATGGTGACAAGGTGCAGGGTCTAGTAGTGCTGCTAGAAGAGGTCCTGGTCATGGGGGTGTCGTAGTGCAGCAGCAGGTACAGCAGCAGCAGCAGCAGCTGCACCAGTAGCAGCGGTAATTTTAGCCACAGTAGTCGCATCAGTTTCAACATTGGGTCTTGCAACCCTTTCAGCAGCAGTAGTGGGACACGCTCGGCCATGGGGGAACTGGCTGCGATCGTGGGCCCCCTGCCAACGTTACAGACTGTCCCTGCGCTTGTCAGATCTGCGCAGTACTTCAGCCACCTCTTCAACCTCTACCACCAGCACTACAAGCCTGCTACGGAGATCCCGGACAGGTTGGCGCAGCTCCAGCGTGGTTCGTCTATGTTTGGTATGGATATAACTAATATTCACGTTGCTTTGTTTTCTAGACCTGTGACGTATGCTGTTGACGCTAGTGTTGCTGGACCTTATACATCTGTCAGAAATATGCTCTAGGATGTAGTGGGGCACTCCTTATGGGGTACAGCCCAATTAGATTTTGCTATACAAACCCTGTACTGCTGTCATTCTAGTCATTCATTCTTCCTATATTCTGACATGGTATCAGAGCAAGTTCCCTAGTGGGAACGTTTTATTTTAGGGCCCACCACGATAACGATATGTTTCCTGCCCTGCCCGAAGCGCGCCTCGCGCCTGCCTCACCTGCGCCGTCGTGCGCCCTGCCCTACTGCCGCCCGTAGAGGCCCTGCCCTCCCGGCCCGTCGCGGCCCTGCCCTAACGGCCCGTCGCGGCCCTGACCTAGCCGCCCGTCGCGGCCCTGCCCTGTCGCCGCCCGTCGCGGCCTGACCTAGCCGCCCGTCGCAGCCCTGCCCTGCCGCCCCCCGATGCGGCCCTGACCTCGCCGCCAGTCGACCCTGCCGCCACCTGTCGCGGCCATGCCCTGCTGCCGCCCTGCTAAGCGTGTCGTCGCGCCCGCTGTCTGCCGCCGCCGCGCCCGCGTGAGTGGGTTCTCCTTGTATTCTATCCCTCTGGGTTCTGGGTGGACCTCGTGTGTGGGTGCCCAAGCGTGAGCTGGGCAGGGGAGTGTCGAAGAGAGAGGCCCCGCCCTCGCTTGGGCGCAGCCGATCTCGCCGTCGACGGGAAGTTCTCGACAGATTGGTCGAAGAAGTTGGCTTCTGCAGTCCGACGGAAGTTGCAGTCGAACAGGCTCTGCTCGACCGAATCTGGTCGAAGAGCTCTGCGCGACGAATCTGGTCGAAGAGCTCTGCGCGACGCTTCTGGTCGAAGAGCTCTGAGCGACGATCCTAGTCGAGGAACTCTGGTCGAAGAGTTCGGGTCGAGGAGCTCTGCTCGGCGAACGCTGTTCGACCGAGCGATGACGAGTCCTTCGACCGAAGTTGCAGAGTTGTGCGAAACTCTGCGGAGGCATGCGAACTTTCGCTCATGAGGTTTTGGAGAAGTTCTACCTGCGGAACGGCAAAACGTGCTCGACGGTACGCACATGGCGAAACCGACGACACGTTTTCTACCTGGCACCTGCGCAATGTGCCTGACGGTGAAACCGCCAACCTGCACCTACTTGGTAGGTGCGCACATCTGCGCAGATAGACAACCTGCGACTGCAGATATTTACCTGCGACTGCAGATAGTCACCTGCAACTGCAGTGCTGGCAGACCGCGCGAAGTGCAACATTGGCAGATCACTCTGCTGCAACGTTGGCAAGCCGCTCTTCTGCTGCGCTGGCAGATTTCGCCCTTGGTAGGTTCTGCATGCCATTCTAGTCTTTTCATTCTGCATGCCTCAATTGTACTATCAACTTTTCATTGCAAGTTGTTCTTTCAATTCCTTAGTGGAAACTCTTGCCAAACTTCTCTGTGAATACAGCAAGCAGTAAGAACGTTAGAACAACGCTACGATCACCCGCACAACTCTGTCTCCACCGTAGTCCACTCCCGTTGTGTAGTGACTCTCCGCATGGTGCGGTGAGCTTGGAAGGCCCCATGTTAGAACCTTCAGATTACCGACTTCTGCGTTAATTACCTAAGTTGTTGTTAGGCCGGCAGCCGTCTTAGCCGCCATGGTCGACCCCGTGGTCGAAACAGATGTAGAAGATACCCCACAGGCGAGAGAGGCTGGTGTTCGGGCACGCCACGAGGCTGGCGGATACGGCGAGGCGGACTTGGAGATTCTGCTCCTTGGAACTCGTGCGCAGTGGGCGCGTGAGCATCCCCCTCCCCGTGCAGAAGCGGACGGTGCGTCCGCCTCTCCCCGACCCATGCACAACGAAGGCGATGGCGGAAATGTTGTCGGCGGTGGAAGCACGAAGACTCGCGGAGTGATTTGGCCCGCGGACATCGGTGTTGGCGGAGTGCAAGCGCAAGTGCTGCGATTGTCTGCGACTGGAGGCAGCTCGAACGGCAACATCGATGGGCGACGTCAATCTCTTCTGCGGAGTGGAGTCAGGCCGACTTCGGTGACTCATGCGTCGGCTGGTTGAGATGGAGGCATCGCGCCGGCGTACGGATATTTCAATATTTTGCCAGACCAGATCGCTGTGCGGAAGCTACTGGAAGGTCGCCACGACTTGATCACGTGGATTGAATCCATTGAGCCTCAGCTGGAGATCACCGGATTGAAGAAGTTCGTCGACGGCAATGTTGGGACGTCGGACGCAGATGACTCTGAACTCTGGGCGGAATTTCGCGCTGCTCATCTACTAACTTTCATGGTCATTTCGAGGTGTTGCTCGCCTCTGGTGTAGGTTGCATTGACGTCGTGCAGACAACGGGTGGATGCTGGCTACAAAGCGTGGCTGTGAGGATCTAGGATCGAGCTCAGAAAAGAGAATGTGAATTGAATTGAATTGAATTGACTGATCACCTGGGTACATCACGAGGCTATATATAGGCTCGACACAAGGCCCAGTAACCAGGTGTTACGCGAAGGTTCCGCGGGTCGCGAAGCGTCCCGAACAGATCCTTCCAGAATTCGGTAGAAGGCTATTCGGTGGCAACCGAAAAGCCAGAATTCGGTGCACGCAACCTAGCTCGGTGCTATAACTATAATAAAATATAGGAAAGCACCTAGCCTAGGAAATCAAGCATTTCATGCATGCAAATAATTATCCTATGCTAGAAATAGCATAATAAAGTAAAGGCAAGCAAGCATAGCTGGCATAAGCCGTCGTACTCTCACACGTCCCCCCCTCAAAGCTGGGTGGCGTGAATGGGTGGATGGGGTAATTCAGCTCTGCTCCGTGTAGCTTCTTACTGTTGGTGCAACCCTACGGTTTGCACTCGGCTTGTTGTCCGTGTGCGTGCATGTGTGTGTGTATGGAATGGTATGAGGGCATGGGATAATATATATTTCATGCTTAAAATTGTGTGTGAATGTTGAGTCATGATGTCGAGTGTGTGTGTCGAGCCAATAGCGAGTTATCGCTAGACGCGTGTTACGCGGTCGTTTGTGTCTCGCGCGCGGTTTCTATTTTGTCGTGCGCGGTTTCT